CATTGGCACCAGAATCTCCTTTCCATCCAATGATGACCCGAAGCAAGGATCTTTCACTGTATCCAGTGAAAGACTTAGAGTCATGCAAAACTAAATTCCACCCCAGTAGCGAAGATGGGGCATCAACACCAGAGTTCCAATGCCCCATGGTGGAAGTCGCGAATCCTGATAGGGGGCAGGACGGAACAGGTCCCGAAACAATGTTAGTGTACAGACCCTGGACAGCAGAGGATAGGTCAGCTGCTTTAAAAGGGATTCCCCCTGTTGAGGAAGGTATAGGAGAATTTTGGGAAGCGGTGTTAGAACTTCAAGGCAGCTTCCACCTAAATGGGAGAGAAATGTTCCAGTGCCTGAGGCAACTGTTTAATCACAAATGGGGCAGAGTTGCAGGAGATTTCACAGGGCATGCGCACGACGGAACACCTCTTCCGCATGATTCAACCGCCCTGAGACACAGCCTAAGGCAGCTAGAGGAAAGAGTCAGAGGAAGAATTTTAAGGAGAGCAGATTACGGTAAAATCTCACAATGCAGACAGAAAGAAGGGGAAGAGCCAGAAGACTTCCTGGACAGATTGAGACCAGTTTTCAGAAGTAATTCAGGCATTCCCCCAGATAGTGATGAGGCCGGAGTATACCAACAACAATTAAAAAGGGCATTCCTTGTCGGCCTAAGCCCTGAACTTAAACGGTATATAGATAAACATTGGGTCCATCAGAATACAGGCTCAGTGCAGCAAGCTATAGAGTACGCCCAGCACGCACAAAAGGCACAAAAACAAAAAGGAGAAGCGACCTTCGCAGCCTCTGGCGATACAATCGCAGTAGTCTATTCAAGCCCCCAGGGCAGGGGCGGTTACAGAGGCCGAGGAGGTAGAGGTAGAGGTCGAGGACGAGGTGGTAGGCCAGAAAACTCGCCTCAGTATGATAACAACTGCTGGAAGTGTGGAAAACCAGGTCATATAGCTAGGCAGTGTAGAACTAAGCGCGTAAATAACCCACACTCGACAGAAAATGATCAGCGGCTGTGACGCCGAGCTGAGAAACCGCAGGCACCATCTCCTCCACCCCCGCTAGGGCCCCCACTAGATAGAGAGGAGGAGGAGGTTGACCTTCAAGCGGTGTGCCAGCTGATAGCGCTTAAACAGCCTGCAGAACTGCCTCGGCGGCAGTTTATTATAAATGGAAAGACATATGATTGTTTATGTGACACGGGAGCCTGTAGAACAGTATTAACTACAATTCCGCCAAAAGCAACGTTCTCTACCTAAACAGTATATGTGAGAACGGCCGGAGGGCAATCTGAGACCCATCAATTAACTGATCCCATAACGGTAAGAGATGAAGAGACAGGGACAGAGTGTGAGGTCCAAGTTCTAGTGAGCCCGTCATGCCCAGTAAATTTACTAGGAAGAGACCTTATGGTCCAGGTGGGCATAAGTGTTGTTGCCACGACCACAGGTATGAAAGCAATAATAGACAGGCATGCTCTAGTAGTCCATGGGTCGTCAGTTCCACAGTATTCCTGGTCTCTGGACCTAGGCAGAACACCACAAG